ACAAGAAAGAGAGAGAGACAGAGAGAGTGAGAGAGTTTAGATAGAGAGATTCTAGGGGAAAGAACAAGATAGCAAAATGGCCACAGAAACGGCTAGAGAAACAGAGAAAGAAAGAGCGAGAGAAGAAGTGAGCGAGAGAGAGGGGTGAGCGAGAGACAGATGTATAGGAGGATCTAGTGAATATCAGCATTACAAATTCCAAAAATCCCAAGATTGAAAACAGCAATGTTGACCCCACGACTCCGCCGCGCGCCAAGAATTGTTTATAAGCCAAAACCCCGCCGCCGACCCGAGCCAAAGCCACTCGCAAGAATTTTAAATCTCCATGCTTTTCCTGGAATTTCCTGGAATCCAGGAATTTTCTGAGTTTTTTAAAGGACTTTAAAGGCCTCTTAAAACGTAGAAACAAACGAGAGCCCTCAAACGGCCCTGGCTGCCCGACCTCTTTCAGTGGGTCCAATTAGATTCCGGGTGGGGGCCCGTCCCTCACCCACAGATTCGAACACGACGTGCAAAAAGTGGTCGCTTTGTTCGTGATAATCCGGTTGAGACTGAAAGAGAAATTGGTCGAAAACCTGATGAGAAGCGGGTAAAGTGTGCATTAAAGGATCCGGGTATGCAAATCAAGGAAGTTTGAACGGAGAGAGAGAGAGAGAGAGAGAGAGAGAGAGAGAACGAGAGCGCGCGCAAGAGAGTGTGCGCGATATGGCGTGAGCGAGAGTAGGGGATAGAGAGAGAGCGAGCGGGGACGAGAGAGAATTAGAGAAAGATAGAGAAAGAAAATATAGATAAAGAGAAAGAGAGAAGGATAGAAAGAGGAGAACGAGCTATAACGAGGGCGAGAGTGAGAGACGGAGAGTGAGAGAGGGAGCGAGAGAGAGTGAGAGACAGAGAAAGCAAGTGACAACGCGATAGGCAGAGAGCGCAAGATCTGGAGCCTGGGTGAGAGAGGGGAAAGGCAGAGAGCAAGAGAAAAATCGAAGCTTGCTCCCCTGAATTTCAATCTAAACTTCTAAAAAACGCTCGGCTGCTTGCCCGAAAAAATATTTCCGCTTTTTCGCCTTCCTGATTCCTTTAAAATTTAATTCTAATCCCCCAATCGGCTGAAAAACGGGTTAGGTTAGCATTTCTCGGCTCTAGCATAAAAAGAAAGGCAGCAAATTTTGAGTAAAATGGGTAAGAGAGCGAGAAAGAGATAGAGAGAGAGAGAGAGAGAGAGAGAGAGAGAACAGCGAAAGAGCGAGGGAGTGAGAGAGACCTAAGCGGGTCTCCGACTTCGAGTTGATGCCCCGGGGGCATCAACTGGTGTGGGTGGGGTCTTTGGCCCCGCCCGAACAGATTGATGCCTTTAGGGGAGCAAGAAGCTCCAGGAGAAGCCTGCCGAAAAGGCGGCGTACCCGGAAACAAAGCTTCATAATACTCCCCCGGGGAGGGGCAGAACCCCGGGGCCTATCTGTTGGAAGCCTAGGGCTGTTGAACAACACCTTGGCCAGGGGAGGTTGGTCATACGGTATGGTAATCGGTGGGTTTTAAAGGGAATAGAAAGGCAAGAGTTTTTAAAGACGATTTTTTATGAAATTCTACATACTTTTTGCCTTCCTAGTGCCTTTAGAAAGCGAAGACAAAACCAAATGACTGACTAAAATACATTTCTTTGCAAAAATGTGTCATATCGAGATAGAGAAGAGAGAGAGAGAGCGAGAGAGAGGGAGAGGGAGAGAGAGAGGGAGTGAAATGGAAAACTTTGAGTCATTCTGGCTGAATTCAAAATTCCGCTTCATTTCACTTTCCCATCCCAGAAAATTTGCGATTTTCATTTTCGATCCGAGAAGCTGGGATAGAAAATTTGTGAAGCTGCACCGTAGCTGAATTCTAAGCCTGAGTTTAAGCCTAAGCGAACGGTTATCGAGACAGGAACGGCGGAACAGACTTTAAAGTCGGGCTCAAGCTCTCATAACCACCTGGGGGTGTAACCGCAGCCGATAGAGCGTGAGAGAGAGAGAGAGACAGAGAGAGAGAGAGGACAGCTGACTGACACTAACTCCCTTCCCTGCCATCCCCTATGCGAAATCGCGGAAAAACGATGATGTCACGTCATAGATCGTCTTGCCGACCGCCTGTTTGCCACTTGCCATCACAGCGGTGGCAGCATAACATATTTCCAACGCATAGCCCATGCGCGCACTTTGAACCCAGTGTTTTTGGTCATTTAAAGAGAGCGTGACCGCTGGAAAACCCATTACCGTACACATCAAAGGGTCGGTCGACTGAAAAAAAAATATCGAAAAAAATGGAAAAAATAAAAATAATAAAAAATTTGGATAAAACGCCATATAAAAAAGCTTCTGTGCCGAGAGAAAAAATTTCGACAAAGCGCTGACCTGAAAACAAATTTTGTCGACAGCAAGAAAGAGCCCTTAAAAGCTTTTTGAAGCTACAAATTGATTTATTTCCGATCAATTTTTTGGGCCGCTTAAAAATGTCCCAACGTCTAAAAGTCGAGATTTAGAGAAAATCGGCCTTAAAACTACCAATTAATTGTCATCATCCAAAATTAGCCCGCCCCCATATCGGAAAATATTTTGATTCCCCTCCTCCTTCTCCTCCTTCTCGTGCTCCCCATTGGCCAATCGGCTGGAGGAAATTACGCGCGTTGACTGACGTGTGTGAGTGGAAAATAGATTGAGAGCATGGCAGGCGAGTGAGGGCAGGTACATTTTGGGCTTCTGAGAAAATTGCCTAAATAACTGAGCATAGGATTAGGGTTACGCCAAAATACCGACATGAAAGAGTCCCGGCCGCCAAAATTCCGACAACTAAAACCGCCATATGCGAAAATGCGGAAAGCCAGAAATCAGATAGCCAAAACTCCGACAGTCAAAATCATGGCGGCAAAAATCGCGACAGAAACCCGTCTCGCGTCTCAAATTACCGACAGCTAAAATACCGACTGCCGAAATCCCGACAGCAGCAATCCCGAAAGCTAAATTCCGACAACCAAAATACCGACAGCCCAAATCCCGACTGATGCAATCGCGAAATCGCATAAGCTAAAATCCTGACAGCATCAATCCTGATTCAAAATACCGACAACCAAAATCCCGACAAAATTGAGATCAAAACAACACAAAAAAAATCAAAAGGGGCAGGGGGCAGGGTAAATCGTGGACAGAAACACATAGATACTCCGAGCAAATCAAAATATCCCATCTACCGGCCCATCTATAAAAGGAAAAGCGTCGAGCGGGCTGTGGTATGCTTATGGCAGGGGGGGATTCCCCAAAGAAAACTTTCACCAGCAGCTGGGCGACGAGCGTCTGCTTGGAGCCTCTATATGGGGGCGGATCCGGTCCCCAAAAAAGCAACGAAACGATATGGCGCGCCGACGTGAACTAACACCCCCGCGGGTTACGGCTGGAAAATGATGGCAGATCGCCCCCGGGCAATGATGAAAAGAAACAAAAAAAGCAGAGGAAGCGTTTACACCTTAAAAATTGATTAAAATACCAAGGTTATCTTTAGTTTTATTAAAAAAAAACGGCTCGACGAGGTCTAGAATATCGCAGAACGCTATGTAATTGCATTTGAGAGCAAACCGCAACGCGAACGCTACGTGCTAACACTTATTGCCTGATTTCTGCTTTTCGTGATGTGTCAACCTTCTAAAACTCGAGAGACTAATCAAAACCTAGCTGTTTCTAGATAAAACTACACTTTTCCTAGGTTTCACCCCCGGAAACTAGATAATTTTTTTTCTTTGGTAAATTACTGATTTTAAACAAGTTTTAACCTTAGAGTATCTTAATTAGTAAAATCTGGTTTTTTCTAGATGAAAATACAGTTTTCATGGCCTATTTAAGTTTTTTCAAACTTTCCAAACGCTATTTTTCCCGTCACGCATCGCGAAACAAACCATATTTATCTTTATCTTTTCGCCCTATACAACCACTCGAAACATCTAGGTATCCCCAAACACGTATGCAAAAGGCCCCGGCGTCCGTAATCCGGATGATATCGAGCCGGGGTGTATTGTGACAACCCGTCATATACCCCGCGATCCATCACGGGTCACCCCCTACCCGAAATGTCGCGAAACGTGATGCATCTGCTACTCGTCATCCCGCTATTCATCCTGGCTGAAGCGGCCATCACCGGCTTCTCCAATGAGACGAACCCGAAATCTGGATACTACCAGGGCCGCGGGAATGAGTATTCTTCTTCAGTGATGTACCCTAAAAATCTCCCTTATCCTCGGCGAGGATACCCGGGTTATACCCCGCAATATCCAGGTTGAGTTCAAACCAGATACCTTACAGAAAGTACTAAATTTTAGGGGTATACAGCAATTATCCCTTCGGCGCGGAAATGAGCCGAATCCCGAACATGATGTTGCAAAAGTTTTACTATCCGTATTGGGGCAACGGCTATCAAGGTGGGATCTCAACTTTTTCTAAATCAGCATAAAATCCTAAATTCTATGCTGCTGTTTTTTTAAATAAAAAAACCGCTGTTTGCAGGTGCTCAACCTTATCCAAACAATTACTACGGCGCTCAGCCACAAACTGGCGGCGTTTTGTCAACTCTACTCGGTATCCTCATCTAACCGCCTATAAAATTGTTATAATTTATACCACCGCATCACAAAAAACAGACACACATTCTTGCAAAACAGAACACATCCAATATTAGGTTAGTCAAAGGAAAAACTTTTGGGCACTGTGAACACACTCTCGCTCGAAACAAAACCCGCGAGGAAACAGGGTGGGCGTGGGGGCTAAGGCTTGTCGCAAAATTTTAGCACTAATTGGCTGTTGATCGGGGGACCCGTTGGGGGAATCTTCTTTCATTTTTGACGAATTCCGAGTGGCAAATCGCGCGCGCATACGTACAGATAACTACAGGAAAACATGTAAGGGAGATCACTTGAATCACAGAGCAAAGTAAAGATGGGCCTTTTTGAGGTTTTTTGAGAGGGCAAAGGTGGTGAAGCCGCGATATTAGACGGTAAAATGAGTATGGATGTCGCCGGGGCTGACTTCGGAGATGCGCGGCCCGCTCGAGCAGGGCAGCAGCCATGTAAGTAGTCCGCCTAAATATTGACTGTCAGGAACAGGAAATAAAAGCTGACCATGACCACAGACTTGAGTCAGCGCAGCCCAGGACGACTTCTTTCTTCGCGTTGAGCGCAGTCCTCGTCGCTGAACTGCTTCAACAGCCGTCTCGTCGTGCCAGATTGCTTGTAGCTAAAAAAATGATTTATTGGTTCTCAACCTATCAGTAATATCATAGTAAGCTTTACAAAAAGCGATTAGTCAAGTTTAGTTCCATTTGAAATAGCAACCCGGCTTTAGAAACTCTAGTAACCGTTTCATAGTTTGATTTTTGGGCGAAAATCGAGATTTTTCCGCCAAAAACCTGTTTTATTAATTTTTAATAAATATATCAAACCCCGGAACTATTACAGAAAAATAAAGATTTGATGGAGCTAGTAAAAATCTACCTGATCACAAGAAACAGCTATCACAAACATCCCAAATAGTAGCGACTCGATGGAAAGCACGATGGTGTGAAGTCTGAAAAACTGTTTTTCCGCCAACACGCTCCAAAACTTACACTTTCGCGTGGTGCACATTTGGCCCGTTTGGTCCCTTGGCTCCGGTGCTCCCGTTTTCATTGTGGTAGGCCCAGGACAACATTACGGATCTAAAAAAACGATAAAATAAATTGAATACAGCAAGGACTCACCCTAACGAAAAGCCGCTCGTTAGTGCCACGTAGAACAAAAATTGTAGGAAGAATTTTTGGTTGTACTCGCCGACGCAGTTGTTGACCCAGGGGCCTAAAGCAATATTGCGATTTTAGAGGTTTTCTTACAATGATGGTCCATTTTTCGGATACATCTGCGGCAAATTCGACAATGATGAGCTCGGGGAGGCCGGAAGGTCTCGCAACGGGTGCAAACTGTCCATTCTTCGCCCTGGAAAGGAAAATATAAACCGTGTAGAAAGGATCTTCGAGGAATCTCCCGAAGATGTAGTTTTTCTAAAAAATTACCCTCGGGTCATTATCCCTTCGCATCATCATCATTTCTTGTTCACTGTCATTTCCCGAGGAATCAGAACCGTCGTCTCGCGTTCCTCGTCTGTTATTGGTTGCCCTAGAAGTAGAAATTTTAGCTTCAGACAAGCACCACTATATACAGGGTGTCCCAAAAAAACGACCCATCTGGCATTTCGCCGTGTTGCATCCAATCGGCCCCAAATTTGGACCAGAGGTGTATCAGACCCTAAATAACAACAATCCTGACTTTTAGCCGCGTAGCTCGAGTTGTTCTCGAGTTATAACGAAAATACTGTTTTTCCCGGAATTCTGAACAGTTTTATCGGCTATCTTTTTGGACTTTGCATCGATTTGCATCGACATCCGGCTGCGAATCCCTAATTTCGCTTAAGAACTGGGGTAGTTTTGCGTTGTAAAAATCGCTTAAATCGAAGCTTATTTAATTAATTTTACTCTGGAAAAAATTTCTTAGGGTAAAAAAGGCCTACCGGACCATTTTCGCTTAATGTTTAGGGGGTCTAATTCCAAGAAAACCCTACGAAAAATGGAAAATAAAGTTTGTGTTCGTTATAACTCGAGAACGACTGTAGCTACCGGGCTATAAGTCAGGATTGTTGTTATTTAGGGTCTGATACACCTCTGGTCCAAATTTGGGACCGATTGGATGTAACACGGCGAAATGCCAGATGGGTCGTTTTTTTTGGGACACCCTGTA